CACCTGAGGACTGCTGCCAGCAGCAAAGAGGCAGAACTGGAGAGGAAAAGTTTAGAGACTGTCAAGGGGGCTGTTGGAGCTGGTAGAAGCAGTAAAGAGCTGTTGGTTCTCTTGGAGGAGCTCGTCATGCTGCCTTTCCTGATGAACTCGGCTGTTGGAGGAGCTCGGGACCTCACTGCTGCTGAGGATGGCTGTGGTACCTTTCCGGGGAGCTCTGGTTCTTCTGAGCGTCACTTCCTGGCTCTAGTGCAGATCCCTCAGCCTGCTAGCACAGATCCTTCATCCCGCTGGCACAGACTTCCCAGATTCCACACTGACCTTTGGGCCTTCCCAGCGCAGATCCGTGAAACAGGCCTGCATGAGACATTGTTGTGGGCTCTGGGCCTCCAGGTGGACTCGTGGGAGGCACTGTTATGGGCTCTAGGCCTTCAGCTGTATTCAGGCAAGACATTGCTATGGGATCCAGGCCCTCAGCTGGGTTCTTTGGTCTTTAGTGTGTGGACAGATTTCCTGCACTCTCTTTTCTATATGATTCTTTGAGTAACTATTATAAATAATCTTATAAACTGAGTGTCCTGTATTATATTGTTCCCCTGGCAAAACCCCAAACTACAACACCTGTAAAACAGGGATGCTACGAGCACCCGCACGGCCTCTCAGACTGGACCCTGTAAGCACCCAGGCAGGGCACGGGCTGTCGCCGTGCCAGGTGTCACTGGTCCTTGATGTTCAGCGCTCACTCAGCAAGAAAATACCCAGAATGGACGGCCGAAAGGTCCCTCCGGCCTCAAAATGCTGGGTTGTTTTTGAAAGTTATCCAGAGTTTGGGATGGCAAAGTCCCGACGCTCCACCCCACCTCCGGGAGGTGAGCGGTGCCAAGACGCTGACGCAGGAGGGCGCTCCGACAGCCGCACGGCGCTCTCGAGGAGCTGCTCCATAAAGTAGGTGCGGGCCGCTGTTCGCAGTTAAGGCCACAGGCCGGCCAGGACAGCGCCACAGCCGCCGGCGCCATCATCTACCTCAGCCGTCACCTCGGAGGGCTGCACGCAGCGCAAGCCCGGCGCCGACCAAGGAAGCGCTGGACCGCGACCGTGACAGCCGCGGCGCTACTGGGCGACGGGACGCTGACGCTGACAAAGGCCTCGCAGCAGCGTCCCCTGGCGGCGCCTCGGGCTGTTAGCGAGACGGTTAGGCCGCACTGGGGCGGAGCTGCGTTTCTGGAGAGGAGCGGGCTCCGCCCTCATTTTCCCGCCCCAGACAGAAACTTCCAGCCAATCGAAGAACCAGGCTGTCAGCTCGCCCTCCCGGAGCACTGGGGCGTGGCGTTCGCTTCTAGCCAATCAGAGGCGAGCTTCGCTAGGGGCGCATGCGCGGCGAGGACGAGGCGGGACTGAGGAGGTGGTTTCATTCGCAAGATGGCGGCGAGCGGCGTACGGCAGGCTGCTGCGGCAGCCAGCACGTCTGTGAAGCCCATTTTCAGTCGGGACCTGAACGAGGCCAAGCGGAGGGTGCGCGAGCTGTACCGCGCCTGGTATCGGGAGGTGCCGCACACCGGTGAGAGGCAACAGCGCGCGCGGGGCCCGGGAGGCAGCTGTCCAAGGTCTCACCGGCCGAGCTGAGGTCACCCGCTTGGACAGAGGCGTCTCAACGCTTCCGGGGAAGCTAGAGGGTCACCCGAGGCCAGCCTGAGCCCAAGCTGACTGCGGCGCCGAGGGCAGAGCAGCCGTGCCCAGCGTCCGTACACAGAGGCGCCTTGGCCCTTTGGAGCCCTTTGACCCCGTAGTCCTTACAGAGCCCCGGGGAGCGAGCGCGGGGATTGCTGGTGACAGTCACTGGCCGGCGCAGTGACGGGACTGCGGCCGGGTGATGGCCTCTGCTGGGTCGGTAGCCAGCTGTGCCGTCCCAGAAGGTATTCGCAGGCGCCCGTTGGGTTTACGTAAAGCGGCTGTAGGATCTGAGCCATCCCGTTTCCCACGCGGTCTCCGCCCCCCACAAAAAGAAACAACCGGGGGAGGGAAGTGACTTTCCCAGGGTCGGCTCCCGGGTGAGATGGGCACCAGCTTTCCTGCCCAGCTCCACCTCCCTCGGATTTATTCCTCAGGACTTCGCGCCGCCCGCTGCTGGTCTGCCCCCCACTGCCGCCGAACCCCTTCCTTCCATCGCTTGGGTGGCAGGATTGGTACACAAGCTCCCAGAATATAGACTGCGTGTTGTTGTTGTTGTTTAGGGTATTGTTTTGTTTTTGGTCTTTGTGAGACAGGGTGTCGCTATACAGCTCAGGCTGGCCTTGAGCTCACTTTGCAGCCCAGGCTGGTCTCAAACTTGTAATGCGCCTCCCGCCTCAGCCTCCCAAGTGCTGGGATTACAGGCGTGCGCCACCACGCCCTGCTCGCAGACTGTTTCCTCTCACCCTCTCCTTCAGTTCTCTGCTGTACTGGATGAAAAAGGGCAGTTCAAAAGACCTGTATTTTGTAACTGTGTTGATCTGACTCCGTCTTTTAACTTGACCCATCACTCCTGCCTGAGGTGAAGGCGTGGTTGAAGTGTGACTTCCCTCCCTGTGTGTGAGGCAGAAGGTGGTGATCTGGAGCCTGTGCTTTCCTCTGGGCTCTGCCCTTTACTATGACCTTGGATACATAATTTCATCTGCACCTCAGTTTCCTCATCTGTAAAATGGAGAAAGAATAGTGTCTTCTGTGGAGAGTTACTGTCTTAAATAAGTTAATACTGTATATCTACAGTATTTGGTACAGGGGCAGGCAATTAACACTGAGTTTTGGTAGCTGCTGTTTTTGTTATTCATGCTACCCGTGGACTTAAACTAGGAGCCTCTACACACAGCCCCGTGCTTTGCTGTATGACAACTGTGTTCCACTGAGTCCCACCCTCAAGCTGACTTTTAGAGAGACTGCTAGTGACCTGAAAGAATGTAAACCCACCCGGTGCTGGAGGGGGAGAGACTAAGAAGAAAGTGACCTGTTTGTGTAGGGGTTACAAATTCAAATGCCATCAAGGACAGGCAGGTAGCTGAGTGGAGGTGACATAGTGTTTAGCAGGGCATGGCAGCGCATATCTGTAACCCCAGCACTTGGGAGGCCAGGGCAGGAGAATGCTGCAAATTCCAGGCCAGCCTGGGCTACATAGTGAGTTCAAGACCAGCCTGTACTGTACAGACCCATCTGGGAAAAAACAAGTGTTTGTGTGTGGAAGGGGATGCATTCAAAATCAGGTGTTTAAAATATTTAGCTGGTCGTGGTGGTGCACACACTCGGGGAGGCTGAGGCAGCAGGATTGTTGCATGGTTGAGACCAGCCTGGGCCACAAAGTGAGCTCAAGGCCAGCCTGAACTGCATAGCAAGACCCTGTCTCAAAAAGCCGCGCTCCCAAAAAAGTGTTTGCATAGCAGAATACTCCTAACACTTTCTGAAACCTTATCTTGTTGAAGGAGGGAGAAGGGGAAAAAGAAGCCCAAATTCAGGAAGGGTGAAAGTCGTGGCTAAGTTCAAGACAGATCCAGATATCATGACTTTCTAGAACCTGGCTCTAACCATCTCCTCCCAGGACTTACTGTTTAGGAAGATAATTCGAGTCAAAGAGGTCGTGAGACGGGTGGACAAGGTGTCAGGGGTTACAGAAGCCTGGAGAGCAGCGGGAGAAGGCACAGCGGTGAAGATCAGGCTGGGGCAAGATCAGTGGTCGGTCAGTGACAGAGACCTGGGCCACAGTGTGTGAGGCTGTCGGTCACTGGGACTCCAGCTGAAGGATGGGGAGTGATAGTGTTGCTGCTAACACTCATGGACGTGCTTGCATATGATCCAGTGCCGTGCTAAATGCTCGTACAGTGCCTTATTTTAGGGTGGGTAGTTGCCCTGACTTACAGAGGAGACAGATGGGACACCTAAACTTGTCTCAGCTCACACCATTAGTGGGTAGAAAAGCCAGATTTCTAGCTCTGACTGTTCGGTTCAGTTCTAACACCTGGCTCTTGGGGTTGGTGAGGGATGTAGCTTAGTTGTACAGCATGTGCTTAGCGTGTATGAGGTCCTGGGTTCCATCCCCAGCATTCCTACTATAGTTTCTGAAGCTCTGGGGACCCAGTTTGAAAAATGTTACATGCCACTTGCTAGCCATAAGGTAAGAGGAGGCTTTCTAGAGAAACAGTTTATTTCTGTTTCACTTGGTACTTCTTGTACTGCAGATCCAGTACCAGATGCCTACAGCAATATAGAAGTGAGTAAAATACAACCTGCCTTCAAGGGTCTTATGGTCAAGAGAGGGGGATGGGTGCATAACCAGATAATTAAACCTAAAGTATAAATGAAGTACGGAGGGAACATGCTGAATTTTATTTTTGTCTTTGTGAGACAGGGTCTCGCTATGCAGTTCAGGCTGGGCTTGAGCTCACTTTGTAGCCCAGGCTGGTCTCAAACTTGCAGAGATCCTCCTGCCTCAGCCTCCCAAGTGCTAGGACTACAGGCATGCACCATCACACCTGGCAACATGCTGAAATTTTTAACAGCCAACATTGTGTCATGCTTTACTAGGTGTTGTCACTTGATCTTCTAACATATTCCTGTAAAGAAACTACGTTACAGACTATTTCCTTTCCTGTATTTTAGGTGAAAAAAACAGCCTGAGAAGGCTTTCTCCTAGACTGAGTCACAGTGCATACTGATCTCGAGGCCTTACCCAGCTTCTATGACCCGTTCTTTTACCCGACTCTGCCTCCTGAGGATCACGTACAAATGCTAGCATGGATCATGCAAAGGCTGAGAACTGTATAGTACTGTTCTTCCTAGCCTGTCAGAGCCTTCCTGACTCAGGAAAGTCTTAATAAAACAGGGACTAGGAATCTTCCCCTCCTATCAATGACATGTCACAGCAAAGTGTCCTCAGCAGAGAAGCACACTGGTCTCCTTCACAATGCTCGCTCTAGCCTGTATGCCTTGCTTGCCTCTCACCCTGTCCTTAGTCCACCTTGCCCACAGGGCCTTTCCATGTCATTGTCATCAGCAGGTGTCCTGAAGGCTGAGTGCCAAAGGAGGGATACAGGTGATTAAAGCCTAGTTTTCCGAGGGTACCCGTATGCCTCTTTTGTCACATGACTTTCAGAAAGGCCACTGAGTCCGTGCCACTTATGAGGTCTGTGATAATTTTGTAAGGGGGTGCTGATATTTACAATTTTATGTTAGTAATCATGGGTGGCTGTCCCTCCCATCAGAATTTTTTTTGGTGAGGGTCTTTTTGAGACATGGTCTCACTATGCAGTTCAGGCTGCCCTTGAGTTCACTTTGTAGCCCAGGCTGGTCTTGAACTTGCAAAGATCCTCCTGCCTCAGCCTCCCAAGTGCTGGGATTACAGGCGTGCACTAGCATGCCCGGCTCTCCCATCAGAATTTAAGGCCTAGAAAACTAGAGCTACATTTTACATGTCTTTCCCTTTCCCTGAGTAACTTGCTGAAGTGAAGCCTTCTCTACCTCCTCAGCAGTATCTCTCAACTCCCAATATCACTTGGTACTTACGCCTATGCCACATCATTTTAAATTTCAACCCTAATGTACTGCTGATTGATTGCTCCATATTACAATGCTAACAGTAGGATTAGCTCTATGATAAGGCACTTGCCTAGCACATGCAAGGCCCTGGTATGATCCCTAGCACTGCACATAAAAGAAAAAGTAACCCAAACTGCTTTTCTCCTTCAAATGCAATGGTTTTGTCTTCCCCCTTAAAAAACAAAAACAAAAACAAATAAACTCACTGAGCTATGTATCATACTTCACATTCTCAAGCACCAAACTCAGGGTCAGGCAACATCTGGTACAAGAATGAACAGGCAACTTTCTATCTGTGGACTTCAGTTTTTAAAAACATGTTTTGGGCTGGGGATGTACCTCAGTGGTAGAACACAAGGCCCAGCATGGACAAGGCCTTTAGTTCATTCCCACCCCCCGTAAAAAAAAAAAATACAGAAAAAAAAAAAGTTTTAACTGAATAATTTCTACACTGAATCATGTTTTTCTCTTTAGTGTCCTTATTCCAGCTAGACATCCCTGTGAAACAGGGACGGGATAAAGTCCGAGAAATGTTTATGAAGAATGCCCACGTCACAGACCCCAGGGTGATTGATCTTCTGGTGATTAAGGTAATGGACCTCCCTGACCGACTTAAAAGATCAGCCAACTTCTGCCAGGCTTCTTAGTCTGCCCAGATGGACAATTTCTCACCAACTTTAAAAACTAGATACTGGTTTGGCACCTATAGCTCTGTGTTTCAAACGAGTGAACTTGGAGAATATCACCTGGTTAAACAGATTGTAAGATTATTGAAGGGGAGGCCAGGCATGGTAACACATACTTGTAATCCCCACACTTGGGGACATTGAGGCAGGAGGACCACAAATTCAAGTCCAGCCGGAGCCATTTAGCAGGACTCTGACTCAGAAGGGGCTGAGGATGTAACTCAGTGTTAAAGGGAAGAAAAGGATTGTTGAAGGGCAAGTTCACTGGGACTTGCATTTTAGAACTAAAAAACACTATGAAGAGGAAAGTTGGCATTCTTGTTAAACACCAGCCCTGGGAGTTACTGCTTTACCTGGATGCCAGCTTAGAGCCGGAGAGGCAGGCGGGTCAGCCGAGTCCTGTGTAATGAGGCAGATCATGGGCCTGATGTCCTGTCTGCAGCCAGCCACATTAGCACCAATGGGTGTTTCAGTGTGTCCTACTAAATAACACGGAAGAAATGGTAAGCAGCAACATAAGTCAGCCAGCCTGGCTAAGCATTTACAGGGACCTGTTAATTTCAAAGTCTCTCCTCCCGGCAGCAGTTAACCATCGCATTAGAGATTATTTCAGAGGCCTCCGAAATCACTTGGCCCACTCCTCATTTTCCACATGCATACATTTGTCCAGACAGGGTCATTATGTGACCAAAGTCGCTCAGCAAGTCAGTGTCAGAAAAGGACAGAGTCCTGGGCTTCAGCATTGCTTTCTTCAGCTTCACCACTCTGACTGACCATCTCTTCCCTCGTTTGTTCAGGGCAAGATGGAGCTGGAGGAAACAATTCATGTGTGGAAGCAGCGGACACATATTATGCGGTTCTTCCATGAAACAGAAGCACCAAGGCCAAAGGATTTCCTGTCCAAGTTCTATGCTGGCCATGACCCATAAAGCCACTCAGTCGAAAGGTGCATGTTATTTAATTATTTTAGAATACAAATAAATTCACAATATGATGGTCGCTGTGTGATAGAATTCCACTGGTAAACCGGTTTTCTGTGGTGTCTCTCACTTTTGCCTGAACAAATGGGGTTTATGTGTACACACCACCTGCTCATTCCCTCTTCTTAAAGGATGGTGTTTGCTGTAAATCCTGTCTTCTCAGAGCCTCTCATGTCAGGATGAGGCTGTCTGTGCAGACGCTGTCACACTGGGCATGAGGCTGGATGACTTGGTTGCCTCTAGCCTCCGTGATCGGACACCTTGGTGAGAGCAGCACATAGACACAGGAGTACAGCTGATGTGGCGGGCTGGTTTCCTGGGGGTCCTGAAGAAAATGCACATTCACTAGCCTTGCTCCTTGCACAAGCACTGGTCCCTATTGATGAAATTAACTTCCCGATGGGTGCAGTGGCAGACAACTGTAATCCCAGCTACTTGGGAGATGGAAGCCAAGTTTGAGGCCAGCCTGGGCAACTCATCAAGACCCTGTCTTAAAATAAAAATTTTAAAAGGGTTGGGAAAATAAAACATAGGAAACAGGGAGATAAATCTTTTGCAAATGGGAAGGGGCCCAAGAGATGGAGATGGGAGGGAGAGGGAAAAGGAATTAGAATGTGTTACTTACACATGTACCAGTGCCCCATGAGGAACGTAATTATGTACTGCAAACATGTACTAATTTTTTAAAAATTCGAAAGGGCTGGGGATGGAGCTCATGATAGAGTGATTCTCTAGCACTGCACAAGGCCATAGGTTCAGTCCACAGAACTGCAAAAAAAAAAGCCCTCATTATGCTACCAGGGGCACAGCTGTCCAGTGCATACACAAAAACAGAAATATCTTACTGTTTTTTCAAACGGCTATACCTGGAGATTAAACATCAGCCAGATTAAAGAACTGATCTGTCTGCTTGGGGTGGAAGTTTTTCTGTCCTTCCCAGGTCAGTGCACATGCTGGAGGAAGGAGCTCAGTATCTACACTGAGGGATCCCAAACTTTTCAGCACCAAGGACACCCCTATTATCTTTTCACCTGAGGGACCCAAGTTTTGAAAGATCATTCTGATGAGATTTAGTATTTGTAAAGTCAGTGCCCTTCATGACTGGCACATGGTAACCCATATTACTGAACACACACAAAGCTAGAGAGCTGGGCATGGTGGTGCACACCTGTAATCCTAGCACTTGGAAGGCTGAAGCATGAAGATCACCATGAGTTCAAAGCCAGCCTAGGGCACATAGCAAAACCCTGCCTCAAAAAAAGGCTGAAAGCTGTAGTAAGCCTGTGCAGCTTTGAGAAAAAGAGTTTCTTTTGGGCTTTTGGGGCATAGGTCCCCTTAATTAACTCTGGATACACAGGGCCTACATACCCTCGGCTGTAAATCAAAAGCCTGTATGTTCCTCCGAGACAAGAAACTGCAACAGCTAGAGCCTGCCTGGATTGAGAAACTCCAGCCTGCTTTCAGTCAGACACAGCTGATGTTTATTAGGTTATTCATAATTTGACTACTTTTTTCCCAGTGCTCAGTGGAGAACACATCTTAGGGAACCTTCCAGAACCTGGAGATCTGGGCCGGGGGTCACAGACTGTGCAGGAGGCACGCTGAAGGCTTTCCAGGAGCCCTTCAGCTGAAAGGGAAGGGGTGGCCAAGAGCATCGCCATTCTCGCAGCTGGTGCTTTCTCCTCTCTCTACTTCCTGCTTGCCCTGAAAGAAATGAAGAACAGTCCTCCACACGCACAGTGAAAGTTCTGTGGAGTGCTTCTACCAAACATGGCAGTTCTGAGTACCTCTGATTATTATATTCACCAGGCCAAGTACGAGGAGCCCCGGGTATAAAAACGTTCTATACCAGCAAGAAGCGCACAGTCCAAATTTTGGTATGTGAGCGTGTGCGGGTGTGTCTAAGCACGTTACACTGAGTGTTGTAAGAAAGGTCATTCAGAGGAAGCAGCGGTCATTCAAACGGAGAGACAAAGGAAGACTTCATCAAAGACACTGGAGAATGCAGGAAATGAAGACAGAGAGCCATGGGAAGAGCAATGAGTTAATGCTTGGGGTGGGTAAGAGTGAGGGTAACTCAAGGAATTACAGCAGATGCTGTGCCTGTAATCTCTGCTACTCAGGAGGCTGAGGCAGCAGGATCGCAAGTCTGAAGCCAGCCTGGGCAATTTTAACAAGACCCTATCTCTAAAATATAAAATAAAAAGGGCAGGGATATGGCCCAGTGGGAGGGCACTTGTCTAGCAGACAGGAGGCCCTGGGTTCAATGCCCAATACTATTCAAAACAAAACAAAGAACTCTGGCAATAGTTCACTCTGGCAGCACAGAAGGCCTGGCCCTCTTGGGCATTTTCTCCTGTGGCTGGGGCAGTGGAAGCTGAGATTAGTTAACGGGTATGATCAGATTCATGGCAAACCTAAATGTCAGACTAAGGAGTCAGGGGTGTCCTTATCTATGACAGCAGTACTGCCAGGCAGCACAGGTTAGAGCACAGGAAATAACGTGAGAAAGCTGAGTGGGAAGAGACCTGGGCCTCCTGGGGGGTGGGGGCATGAGCGGTGTTCCAGCCCTAAACTGAGGCCCAGGAACAAGGCTGTGCTGGTGCAGCACTTGGTTGAGTGCAGCTGGCGGTGGTGAGGGCCTGCCAGTTTCTGCATTTCAGTATGGAGCTGCTGAGGCGAAGCTGTCAGGGTGGGTGTGTTCGGCATATTGCCATGAAAACATGAGCTGACTGAATGAGGGTACATCAGAGGCAACTGAGAGGCCAGCTGAAGAGATACCAGTGAATTTCTAAGTCAGTTAAGTTACCCTCATCCAACATACATAAAAGACAATAAAAGCATTAGGCACTAAGAGGGCCAGTTCATCACTGAAGCACCTGCCCTGTGTGTCCATATGCTGCTACCAGGCCAGACTGGGTCATAGGTCAGGTGTCCCACCCCACTTCCTGCTCCTGTCCATAAGGGAAACCAAGTCTTACCTGTTAGTCATCATCGTCATCATCCTCTGGGACAAAAATGTCATGCTCCTCAAGTAGAGCAGCAAAATTCTTGCTAATGAGCGTCCCAACATAGAGAAACGGGATCACAATGGAGAACACACGGAGAAGACCAAAGGACATCTGCAGGTCAGAGTGGTGGCTGTGAGCTCCACAGCCCACTTAGGCAGGACCACACAGGCCTGACCCTCCCAAGGGCAGTTCCTTCTGTGGACCGCAAACCTATCCTTAGCAACTTGATTTTAAAACCCTTGAAAAATTTCAGAGCGAGAAAAATAATTAGAAGATAATATGATTGTTGTGGTACTGAAACTGTTACCAGAAAAAAAAACAAAACACCCTAGACATTTAAAAACTAAGTGCAATCTGCTTTTTGCTGTGAAACCAGCTTGTAGTTAGTTCTGTGAGTTAGCATAAATCAGATTAGGTTTCACATAATTTGTTCTTGCTTTTTACTTCCCACACCGACCTGCAGTCAAAAACTAAAGCTCTATTAGTCCACACACAGCATTCAGGGGTGAAGGAAACGACATGAAACTGGTCGCGTACGCCGCGACCTAAGCTAGCCCCACCGAGGCCCGATTCTTCCTTTGTAAAAACTCTGATTGCAATAATGCCCACACACCTCTCAGGACTGCAAGTCACATGAATTAAATAATAGGTCACAATTAATTTAAAAGAAAATTAAGGTCCTGTCCCATGTTTTATTTACGAACAATTTATTATCTCATCCCATCAACTGTGAGGCACCCAGAGACCGTACGTGGTTGTCTAAACTCAATGCATAACACTGAGTCTCGAGACCTCAGAAGCATCGGGCATCATACCCCTTAAGGGAAGCTGATACAAAACACAAGGTCTGCCCTTCAACTTCTGTCTCCAAGGACCCTGCTCAACACCGGCTTTTTAACCTTATTCTCCTACAGGTAAAAATTAGTAACCCATTAGTGCAAAAAATTGTCCTTGGTCCGCCAGCCAATCTATGGAGACCCTATGATTGGTCTCTGTTCCTGTCAATCAGCGTCGGCCTACCCTCACTCCCCGCAATGATTGGCCTAGGCCCTTTCACCCAGCCTCCAGGCAGACACTCACTTTCACCGGTTTGGGCAAAATGGCGCCGCTGCGGGTAACGATGACTGACCTCGACGATACCAGGCTCCGACCTGAGCCGCCCCGGACGGCCGCAACATCGCCACCCTTCCTCAAGTTCGGCCCACTCTGGAGAGCCCCAGATCGCAAGGTCCCCAAAGCCAGCCAGCGAGCTACTCCGGACGCCATCTTCCACTTCCGCCCCTCTCCCGGGCACGCGCACCCTGCCTCCAGGCCCCGGCCCCGCCCTCACGAATGGCACCGCCCAAGTCTCGCGAGGTTGTGGGTGCACTTGAGAACCCTATCCTCACACTTGCGCCGTGCCCGCTCTTCCCGTGGCGGTGGGAAAGAGGCGCGTGTCGCCCCCTCTCTGCGTGATGAGGTCACGACGCCGACACCCATTTCCTCCTTCCGCCCCGACATCCAGGATACTGTTGAAATAAATTTAAGGAACCGAGATAAGCAATAATTAAAAACTTTAGGGTTTGAATCGTATAAAGAACACTGCCCATACATATAGCACCTGTGCTTGGGGCGGTGGCTGCGGGCCTCCGTGCAGGGCTGGCAAACGTGCCCAGTGGAAGACCGGGCCCGGTGGTCATACCGCCAAGGAACCCGGATTTCCGGCCCTAACGCAGTTGCCAGCCTGCTGGCAATGCTGTCCATAGCTGTGGTCCTCGTTTGTATAGACAGTGCTTGTAATAAACGGATAATAACAATTTAAAAAACTTTAGTGTTTTATTGTACTTTTAAAAACACTGTAACGGTAAGAAAGGTAACAAAGGCTGCAGTATCTGTGTATAAAATAAAGTGCAGTGGGCTATGTGGGTCCCGTACAGGACTGGGAAACAAGTTGGGTAGGACAGGAACCCGCACAGAGCCCTGGGCAGTTCCTCAGCCTGATAGAGATGAGAAGAAATCTTGCGTCCCAGCCTTAGGCCTACCTGCGTCCCGGTCTGGGGGAAGGGAAGGCTGGGACAGGGCAGGCTTTGTGTTTGGGGGAAGAGGAAGTCTGATCAGACCCACCTCTTCCCACCAGCCGCTACCGCTACATCCGTACCGCAGAGGCTGGCCCCAGCCGGCTTGCCTCTCACACAAGACAAGAAAACAGATGGCACCATGCTGGGGAGAAGCAGGGAAGGTTCTTGACAGGTAAACTCGGGGGAAAAGCAGGACTGGGCCAGAGTTCCCAGACGCTTGCTTTCACCCAAAGTTTCAGGAGTAAGAACGCTTTTATGAGACCCCAGCCGGGAGGGAAGAGTTTACCACAGGATACTGGGAACCTTGCGTCCAAGCTTCTAAAATTCCCAGGACTGAGAATCAAAGAAACAAGCTGCCTTTTCCCAGGGAGCCACCCGACCTCCCCAGCTCCCCAACTTCTGGCCTGGCAGTGGCAAGAGCTGGCAGTGGAGGACAGAGGACAGGAAGGGTTTCTGCTGACTTGTAAAAGCTAACAGCACCCGCCGGCCCCAGCAATGTGCAGCACCATCTATTATTGACAGGGCATCAAGGGAGAGTAGAAGAAATCAAAGAAATCCTCTTTATGGGCAGAAGGTCCTCTCCTCCGAAGGCTCCACCCAAACTAGAGTACCGGTCTGTGCTCACTCTTCTCACCCCGCAGAAAGAGCTGGCCCAGGGACTCCTCTGACAGACACATAAAGCCACTTTCTCAGATAATGTGCAGTCAGTCTCTGGGAAGTTAAATGCACACAAGACTCCCTGTGTTGGAAATTATGGCCATAGGGTCCGGTGTGCAGCTCAAGGGTGGGGCAGCCCACTCCTTCACTTCCTTGGTGTCCAGAGCAGAGTCCTACGCAAGCCACCCTTCCTCTCTGGCCTCAGGATACAGAAGTTGGCAGTCATGGCTCATCAGTCCCCTCCAGACACCAGGACAGGCTGGAACCGGAGAAGGCCGACAGAGCAAGAGGGAGCGAACACCCCCACAGTACCCCCACCCCACCCCTGGCAAAGCAACCCTGCAAATGAGTAAACATTTAACTCCTGAAGAAGCCCTGGCCCTGGTGTCCCAACCAGCAGGACGAGACCAGAACTCACAGGGCCCAGGCTCAGGGTGTACCCTGTCGCTTGCATCCTGCCTGGCTCCCCTGGGCCCTCTGCTGCCACCCCTGCCTCAGCTGCACAATCTCCTGGCCATACCAGTCGTGCAGGGTAGAGAAGCAGGAGGTCTCGGGGGACACAGGGCTCTGCCCCCTGCCCAGGAGGAGGCTGGTGGGGCCCTGCAGCTCCCACTCCGGCAAATCCCGCCCTACTGGCCTGCAGCCTCCTCCTTCCACTGCGCCCACAGGGCTGCAGTCCCTGGGGAGAAAGTGACCATTTTCCAGGCCTGGAGATCTGCGGTCAGGCGCCTGTGGCTTTCGGCGGCCGGCACCGACCTTCTGGGACGCGCAGCGATGCAAGGCCAGGCTCCTGCGGGCGTCCTGCAGCTGGCTCTCCAGCTCTCGTACCACCAGGCGCATGTAGCCAAAGCTGGCCCGGGACAGCGCCTTCACCCAGGCCTCCTGGGCTGCCTGCCCATCTGCAGCCAGCAGGTGCGGGCGCACTCCGGGGGCGTCGAAGCGGATGGCGAAGGCGAACTCTTCCGGCACAGGAGCCTCGGCCAGCTCCACGGTGCAGCCCTCGAGCACCACCAGGCTCAGGGGGGCCCGGCCCTCGCGACTCTCGAAGGAGAACAGCAGGTTGCCCTTGAGAACAAACCAGCATCTTCTGCCAGTGCCGCTGGGGGTAGGGGGGGTTCCTGGGCCGCCCCAAGTGCGCAGGAAGCCCATGTGGTCTGCTGGGGAGTCACTCAGTGCGTAGTGGGCCACGCTCCTCTTGTTCAGCTTCATGGTTCCCAGGAGAACTGAGAGGCGAGAGAGGGGTCAGTGGGTCAGAGAGGGAGGCAGCGCCGCTGGGGAAGGGCCCGCCTGGGCCCCAACCTGGGCCTCTGCTCCCCTGCTGTGTCCCTGGGGCTCCTAGTTTTCATCTGTGAAATGGTTGAGTCTCCCTGGCCTGTCCTCTCAAACACAAGTTGAGGGTCATGCAAAAAACTGGACATTAGCTGGGCATGGTGGCACACACCTGTCATCTCAGCACCCCGGGAAGCTGAGGCAGGAGGATTAAAAGTTTGAGCCCAGCTTGAGCAATTTAGCAAGACCCCATTTCAAAATTTTAAAATAAAAAAGAACTGAAGAAGCAGCTCAGCACTCCTTGGGTTCAAGCGCCACTACTCTTCCATTCCCCAAAAAGACCGATTGTAGAATACTCAGACGAGATCAGGCGTGTACAGGGTGGTATGGCCGTAGACTGTAGAATACTCAGGAAAAGGTAATGTTACTGCACCCGGCCAGGAGGCCTGGCAGGACCTCAGTGTGGCTTGCAGGAGGATCATTACAGCCTAGGCAACTGAGTGAGGCCATCTCAGGGAAAAAAAAAAAAAAAAGCGCTGGGGATGTTGCTCAGTACAAAGGCCCTGGGTTCCATCCTCAGTACTGGGAAAAAAAACTTTTTTCAGAGAAATAGAAATAGATCCCAGCTGGGCTGAAACAGACCCCAAGCTTCAACCATCCCCTACGCTGGGAGCCTCTCCAATGTGAGGACAAACGTCCAGGCTTTCCATGACCCGCCTGGGCCTCTAGTGGCCGCTCCTTGGTATACAGCATTGTTATCCTTTAGCGAGGACCTGCAGCCTCCAGACCAGACAGGTGCAGCCAGCGCAGGTGGCCTCCCAGTGGAGGTTTGGACAGGGACCCACCATGTAAACAAGAGTGTGACGCCAGCCATCTCAGGGTTCAGCTGAGGACTGACCACAGCCACCGGCCTGGGTGTGCCAAGGACCCTGCGTGACACCTCATCCAACGTCCTTAACCAAACGCAGTGAATGGGGCGCTGGCCAAGGTCACATGACCAGTGAGGGGCAGCACTTGACGGCACCTTTGGGGGGACACACTTACCAGCCGAGCTCACGGGGTGGGGTGGGAGCTTCCTGTCCTGCGCACGGCTCAGCCAGTGGTTCCCGGGGAGTCTGCAAAACAGTTCTCAAAGGATGAGCACTCGCACCCTGCCTTCTGTGAAACTCCCACTGCCCCAGGAAGCTGCGCTGGCCCTCGTAACCCCGCCCCCATCCACCTGGGCCAGGCTCCCAGAGCGATGCCCAGGGGCTGGGTCCCGTGCTCTTGACCTTCACTCTTCAAACCTCAGCTTCCTGCCCCCCAAGGTTGGGTCACAGTGACACCTCATAGCTTCCTGCCTTCCCTTCTAGCACTTGACACGCAGTTTATTTGTGAGCTTTAATTTAAATCACCTAATACTCCGAGAAGCCTGGCCTGATCACGGTAGCCACAGCGGCCTGATCTCAGGTCACAACCAGCAGTCCCCCGATTCAGGTCTTCTCGCCTTCATCCTGCAATGATCTCCTTTGTTTGTTTGTTTGTTTGTTTTGTTTTGCAGCAGGGGCACGGTAGGTTCAGGCTGGCCTCCAACTTCCAGGAATCCTCCTGCCTCAGCCTCCCAAATGCTGGGATTACAAGCATGCCCCACCATGCCTGGCTCCCACAGTGATCTCCTTTGTGTTTACTCAGGTGTTCCCAGCTCCAGAATGTCTCGGGCCAGGTTTGACTTGGCTTCCAAAGGCACCTTCAGGGTCCAACACCTTGGCAGGTATGTGCTGAATTCATGAGTGGACATCAGTGTACATAGCAAAGTCCTCCATCCTTCGGGAGCCCGGACAGGGGCAGGGAGGTATGACCAATGTAAGCAAATAAAAATAAACAACTAATGGCTAGACATGGTGGTACACACCTGTCACCCCAGCCCTTTGGGAAGCTGAGGTAGGAGAGTTGCAAGTTTGAACCCAGCATAGACCATTTACTGATGTAGCAAGATCCTGTCTCAAAATAAAAAGTGAAAAAGGGCTGGGGGTGTATCTCAGTGCAAAGGCCCTGAGATGAAGCCCCAGTACCTGAACAACTAATAATAAAGTGAATAAAATAGTAATCAATAAAACAATACATAGCTAGGCATGATGTAATCCCAGCACTCGGGAGGCAGAGGCAGGAGGATCGCTGAGTTCGAGGCCAGCCCGGG